GAAGGTTGTTTGTTCTTTGCCTTTTGATTGTACTTCTGTATACACCATCTTAGCCAATATTATAGTAAAGACCAACAAAATCCATGTGTTTGAAATGTGTATTCAGATAAATACCTCTATCTTCTATATCTAGATATTCAACACCTAAGTAAGAGGGACAATGTTTATTTAATTCCTACTTTTACAGCACCTTAAATAAACAGTCTATAATTACTTTGGATAATAATGATGGTGGTGGTAGTTGTGGTGGTGATGAAGACAGTTCTGTGCTAATGATCAAAGATTGAGTCTAGTATGTTCAGAGGCCTGAATTGTACTTCCTGTGCCTTATAACCCCAGGACAACTCAGAAGAGTTGATCCAATCTGGGACCAATTCCCGTGCAGTCATGGACTCCATTATTTCATATGCCTATGCTCAGAAAGGCAAAGCATCCCTAACGTAACTTCAGCTCAACTCTTTTTGTTTTCTCTTGAAAATTTTCCGTTTTTTTCCTAGAGATAGTATATAAGGAATCCTTTCTCCAAGAATACATCCTAATTAGGATGTTTTCAAATTGTAGGAACAAACCACATTCTGCTTCCTAACACCTCCTGAACATTTTACAATTTACATTAATTAGAGAAACTGGGTGGTGTTCTAACAGGTACATTAATCTGACTCTTCCTTGGAGTGAATCAAGTAATTAAGATTAAGGCTATTGTCAGAATGGGGAAGTAACTCTTTCCCATGCTGAATTACATCTCTGTTTGTGATTAACCTTCTTCCCAACAGGTTTTTACAAAACAAAGAAAATAGGCCTCTGAATACAAGTGTATTTTCCATCCTCTGCTGATTTGGAGCCTCTACTGGGACAAGTATTATACAGTGTTATCTGTTGTTCAGAGTTAGAGAGAAAAAAAAGTGACAATCCTATTAACAAGAAAGGGTAACTCAGAGCTTCTTCTACTGGGAAGTTCATATTAAGCAATTCCAGGCATGCAATCATTTCTAAATTAATTCGCAAAGGCAGCCCAAGTGTATTATACTTATTATTATACTCTTTCTGTGTCTGTTACTGAATGTACTTGTCCACCACCTTTTACTTCCTTCTTTTACCAGGAAGGAAATTCAATGCAACTTTAAAGTCAACTAAAACTTTAAAATTTCTTCTAAATTGTAAACACCAGTTGTTGAAACATGAAACAATTCTCTGGACTTTAGCCAATGCCATTTCAGAGGCAGATGGACACATTGGTTAAGATTTCAGGGAGGCTTTGGAGGAAATGGTTGGATTACGATGCCAACTCTGCTATTAACCAACTGTGTGATGTGGATTAATCTCTCAGGGCTTTTATTTCCTCTTCTAGGAAAGGAAGGATGGTAGCACCCACTTCCTAGGACGATGGCAAGGACTGAGATGACGAACATGAGATAATGTCATGAGTTTTGAGATAATAAAATGAGTTAATGAACTCAGTGTCTTACAGGAAGTAAGCCCTCCACAAAATTTCAATATTATCATTGTTATTTGATAGCTTTTGTCTCCCTCATGGTGTGTGTGTAGAGGAGTCTGTTTCACTAAATAGACCAAATCCTATCATTA